ACGAATAAAAAAGAGCATTTCAAATCAAATTTCACTTTTGGTTGTTTCTTTAAGTCTCTCCACCAAGAACAAGATGTTCCTGATGTGGCTGTCTCAGTTTGAGCTCCGAGACCCAACACAAACTGGTTCTGGTTCTGGCCTGATGAATGGCAAATGTAGCTTATTTCCGAAGTTTGGTAAATTAAAATGATGGTTTCCTCATTACAACTTGACCTTTTTTATCCCAAGAGTTGAGTTCTTCGTAGGGCTGGTTGATAATTTGATTTTATTGAGTATTCACATTTTTTTTGGTTTTTGAAGATTTAATTTTTGGAAAATTAGGATTTTTTTTTCACCTGTACCGTTTGTGTTTCCATAGATCAGCACAGGCGGCCATCTTGTTTGACAAGCATATTTTACAGCTTCTGCTTATTTAAAAAGGAATTTTTCTTTGCATCTTTATTGCACTTCTAATGAAAATAGGAAGCTAAACTGATTTTTATAAAAAATAAAAAAATCAGCAGAAGGTGCCGATTTAAAAAAAAAAAAAAATCAAATTGTCAACTAAATTGATCTTTACAGCCTTAATGGGAAAACGAAATAAAAATCGTAAAATATCTAACATTGGACTAAAAATAAATGGAAATTTTTTAGCAAATTGAGTCATTAAAAGTATGAAATAAAATGTTTAGATCATATTTTTGAATGATAAGCACAGGAAGTGTGTTTTTGAACAGCTTTTGGAGAAGGTAGGTCGGCAAAGTGGGTCCTCGAGATGAAATGACGTCAGATAATTTTGTTAAAACCACATTAGCAGACAAGTTTGGTGTTCCTGGAAGTTGGATATTTTCGATAAATTACAGGAAATGACTCATTAAAAGGCTGAAATTTTGTGTAAACCTAATATAATGTCTTTAAAATAAAACCCAAACTTTAAGAAATGCAACAGTTTTCATGAAAGACTCTTAACAGCGCTTAGGCTGGGATCTAATCCAACCTAAGGGTCAAGATTATAACCAGTTATTTGTAGTTTCTGAAATTTCTTTTAAAACTTAATCAGGAAAAAATATTTTATTTATAAACGATACAGAAAGGCTTGCAAATGATAAATCTTAGATTCCAGTCTGTTTCCATACTTTTTTTTTTCTGACTGAATAAAAACCTCGCTAATCAGTAAATAACTGTTCATAAAAGGGAAACAATCAAATTAAAACCATTTACAGTTGTAAAAACCTCCGGTGGGTAATTAAGTTTGACGCAACAAGTTTTAACCAGGAATAATTTAACGGGACATATTTTTATAGGTTACAGTGTCTGTTGCGCCAAAGAGAACAATCCCATTTCCGCCATGTGTTGGTTTCTTGTGAAGAATCTACGTGGCTCGTAATCCCGCATCTTATTCCCAGTCCAGATGAAGACAATCTGACGTCCCTGAGCGATTAAAGATGTTTTCGGAGGTGAACCTGATTAAAGTTATAATCTGTGGCCGGTGCAGTGAGCTGAACAGATGCACGGCTCTAACTAATGTCCCGGACCCGGTGGATGGCGGCGCCGCCTCGCTTCCTGCTTTTGGCGGATCCGCGGCCTCGTTCTGCCAGTTTGGAAAAGGTTTGAGTTTGTTCGTGTTCGCAGCAGGGGGTTCCTCTGATTTAGAGCTTCGTCTAATCAGGAACAATAATTTGGCTTCTTCATTGTGGCACCATTTACTTTCAGCACAATTGGAGGCTCTCCACTCGCTAATTAGGCTAATTTTTTTAGTTGCCATTATGCAAATGTTTTGGACATAAAAACAGTTTTTTTTTTTTTTTTGTTCCGTCGGATGCAGAATTTTCTTTTCTTTTTTTTGCTTCAGGTTTTCTGACTTAAAGCTTCAATCTTTTCTGGGAGATTTGATCTGAGAAGTAATTTTGTGGATCTTGGAAGAGGCTCAGCATCTTATTCCTCCGGCTCCTTAAGCCCGTTCATCTCACTGCGCGGTCCGAAGTCACAGCAGCTTTTCCACCATATTGCTGCTCTGCTGCTTCAATGAGAGACAAACTGTCGGCATTTGTCGGATAATCATTTCAAAGTCATTTCAGTAACACTGCGTGTTAAGGAGGTCGAGTGGGTTTTGTAGGAAAATGAAAAGATTTCTGAGGTTGGAGTATTTCAAGAGTTAGTTTTGATGAAAATGACTTGAAAATGTAAGTATGTTTGAATGTAAAAATGAACATAGAGTTCCATATGCAAACTATTGGAAAGTTTAGTGGAAGGAAAAAGTGTGGTAGGAAAATGGTGCATGTAGATGCATCACCTGGACAATGGAGAAAAAGAACCAGGACTCCAAAGTCCTGATCCCGGGTGAAAGTAAAGTTTGCATTTGAAAATCAATTCAATCGGTGATGATTTGGGTGCCAGATCATCTGCTGGTACTGATCAACTGAGTTTTCTTAAGTTCTCGGTCAACGCAGCTAGTGCACTTCACTTTCACACTGCACTCTGTCAGACAATCCAAACCCTTTCATAAAACTGTTCCCCTCCTCACCTGTGGTGGCGCTGCATCAAGAACAATTTAAGGAAAAGACACAAAAACCTTTGAAGAAGATACTGAGTGAAAGAAAACCACCCAAGCTGAAAATTTTAACAAATGTTGCGATCTTGGTCTCCCATCAAATTTAATCTAAACACACTAAATATTTTTGCTAGATGGTTTGTTGCCTTCAGAAATCCCAGTTGACCACCCCAAGTGAACCGGACTTTCAAAGCAAACCAACTCTAGTCAATTAAAGTGAACTAAACTTGACTGGTGTGAATGAACCCTAAGAGTCCTTCATTTTTGTTTGTCCTGAAAGCTTTAATGAGATGCTGGTCTCATTTCCAGCAGGACTTGGTACTGACCCACACTGCCAAAGGTACCAATACCTGTATCAATCCAACACCTTAAATGTCAAGAAAATGAGACGTTCTAGACAAGCTTAAGCAACTTCATCATTTTGATCACTAAAAAAAAGTACTTTTCAATTACTTTCACATTTATTAAGATTTTTAAATCTCTGCAGGGTTTGAGATGAAGATGAAACATTTTTACGTGTAATTTTCTGATTTCTGCGCAGGAACTGGTGTGATGCAGAGTGAGCCGCCTGTTGACGAGCTTCCTGCCAACGTCCAGGCCCCCGTCGAGAATCCTCAGCCGGTCAAGGAGCCAAAATCGGGAAAGAAGAGCAGCTGCAAACTCGCCGATGAGTCCGACAGCGACTTCGAGTCCGACCCCCCTTCTCCAAAAAGCAGTGAAGATGAAGAGCAGGAGGAAGAGGAGGCCTTGAACAGCGAGCACGGTGACGACACCGAGCCGGAGAATCTGGGTCAGAGGCCTCTACTGATGGACTCCGAGGAAGAGGAAGATGAGGATAAACATAGCTCAGATTCGGACTGTGATGTCAGCAAGGTCAAAGGCCGCTCAAAGAAACCAGCCGCCGCTAAAGTAGCCAATCCCACCGCTTCCAGGAGTCCTGGAGGGCGGTCTAAGCAGAGTCTCATCACCCCTACAGTGTCTTCCGGCGGAGCGGAAGGTGTGGACGTGTTCGGCGCCGTTCCGTTCGTTGGCGGAGCTTCGCCCGTCGGGCCCACAGAGGGCAACGATATCTTCACCAAAGCGCCTTTCCGGCAGGTCAGCCAGGAGGAGCCGGCTGCTGATGAGTTTGATGTTTTCACCAAAGCCCCGTTCAGCCGGAACGTGTCGAAGTCCGGAAGGAGCGTCAGCCAGACGCCGCCCCTTTCCCCGGAAGGCACCGACATCTTCGGCTTCTCTCCGTTCCAGCCGAGCCATACCGAGCCTCCGCCTACCTCCCGGAGCGCCGAAGACATCTTCCAGTCGCCGTTCGAGGAGCCGTTGAGTCTCCAGCAGAGGCAGAAGCAGCGCAGCCTCCAGAAGTTGTCTTCCCGACAGAGAAAAACCAAGCAGGAGACGACGGCGGGGGGCAGCAACGGCAAGCGGCACCACGGTACCCCAACCGGAGGACGCAAAACCAACAAGCCGAGCTACCGCACTCCAGAGAAAGTCCGCAGGCACAAGAAGGTGGGCCGCCGAGATTCCCAGAGCAGCAATGAGTTCCTGAGCACCTCTGACTCCAAGGAGAACATCAGCGTGGACATCAGCATGGCCGAAGGGAAGGACACCATGGCGCCTCTTCCGGTGGACGACGTTCTTCTAGACCCGTTCGGGGCCAAACCCTTCCACCCTCAGTACCCGGGCCTTGGCGACGGTAAACCCGACATGAGCACCGCCAACGGGGGAAGGATCATAGACGATTTCGGGGCGGTTCCCTTCACGGAACTGGTGATCCACAGCGGGCCGCAGCAGCCGGTGGTGGCGCCTTCACAGCCGCTGGACCTGGACCCTTTTGGAGCGGCGCCGTCCCCCTCCAAGCAGTAACTCAACATGTCTTCCGCCAGTAGCCATTAACCCACAGCTGTTTATTTTTTTTTGGTTTGGGATCATTTCTAATCAGCCTGAATCCTGTGGAGTGTTTCTCTTTGCGCCTGCCTTCTATGCTGCATCGCAACGCTTTTAGGAACTGAGAGTTTGTACTGTGATTTAAAGTCAATACTTGACTTTCTCGTCTGCCTTGTGATAAGTTTTAGCACCAGAAGCCTTACCTGAGCTGGGCCCGACCCGCGCACAGTACCTCGGTAAAAAACCCGCATCGTTTGACATAATTTGGGAGCAGCGTTTAACCACTCTGTCCTTTTTAGGTTTTTAATCTATGCATACTTTCCCTGCAGCCAGTGTGGGAGTGGGTGCATTTCACTAGAAGGGAACTTTTTTATTTTATTGTACTTTACTAAAGAAAAAAAAATTACCTTTTTTTCGTTTTTAGGCTCTTAACTGTTCTCTGTAGCAGAAAAACCTCTGCTCAATTATTGGTTATTTTCTTTCTTTTTTTAATTTTTATTATGAACTCAAAATAAAAACACAAAGATGCAGCCAGTCACTTGTGGAGGATTTGGTACCTGTGGAGCATTTCTGACATCTGACAAGGTTGTTGGATTTTATTGAACAGTTTATTAGACAAACGTGAAGCGTATTGTATTAAACAGCCTTAAAAACAAACGTAGCTACACAGCTTCTCTTTTAATAACCAAAGTGGGAAAAAAGAAGTCTTATTTACAAGTTGCAGATATAAAAGACAAATGTACAAACAGTACAGTTTAAGTCCATTAATAATTTAAAAACAGTATCAAATGTCATTCCAAAATGAGTCTGCTGCCATTTAACTTAATCGCTATTAAATCACTAAGACTTTTAAAATTGTAAGGGAAAATATTTGCTAAAAAAGCTGCATGAATAAGGAGTGTAGTGACTTATTCTCCTTTTTAGCGCTTCAAGTAATTAACCTCTTCCTCCAAATTTGAGTGAGATTCCCATTTCTTTAAAGCTCAGGGTAAATTGTAGAAAATGCAGTGCAGATAAATGTCTGAAGACGTAAATATAGACACCAAACATCTTGTCCCGCCTCCATCGCCAAAGGTTTTCGTTATAATCACTAAACCGATAATGTTTCTGTTTATGTGAAACTATAATGGTGCAAACGTAAATACTGCAAACTTGTGTTACAAAACTGAAGTCCCCCGGACCACTAGGGGGAGACGAACAAATGGTCTTGGACCAAATGCAGAGTAAAGTCGGGATGTGCAGAAAAGAAAAGGTGTGCTACACTTTTTGAAAAATGCAGTCTTTTGCAATATTATTGAACATCAGGGTTTATGTAGGTAAAAATCACCTACTCCATACTCCACCTAGTGGTCTGGAGCACTTTTGTTTTTATGGAGAAAGTTTACAGCTTTTTTTAATGAGTTTTCCCATTTTGTTTCCATTTCCTGTAGTTGGAACAGTTTTCGTTTGCATTTATTTAGTGGATTTAAAGGTTTTTGCTTCTATTGTATGTGTAACAGCCAATGTCTTGTGCGTTTGCACTCTTCTGCCATTGCAGAAAACCCTAAAAACAGCCGTTTGTAAGCCTCTGAAGATCTGATGGTTTATTTTAAGGCTAAGAACTGATTTATAATTAGACTAATATAGTGTTTTTATATTTTTGCTGAGGTCAAATTTGAAGTCTAAATATAATCAAATGTTTTTAAGAGATAAAACATTCATGTAATGTACATAAAAGCTGGTTTAACATGTAGGTGCTGGATTTTGGAATGAAGTCATTTAAAATACTAAAACAGTAAAACATTGCACATCACCCTAAGGGAGCTAGAATATCATATTTTACAGTATTACATCTGAAAACACTGATTTTTTTTCTCTCTTGTCCACTCCTAAAACATCCTCACATATGAACCAAATACAGAATTGTAGCAATGAATATAAAAGGACAGAGAATGTAGTTTTAATACTGCCACTTAAATCACTGTTGTGTCTCACTAGTGACCTCTAGAGGCAGAGCTGCTCGTTACGCCCTGCTAAAATGAGTTTAAGAACATTGACTGATTCCCAAATAAAACATAAAAATCTGATTAACAACAGTTCTGAAAGAAGCTGCTGAACAACAAGTCTTTGGGGTTTTAATTGCTTTAACATGCTCACTTTTTGCTTCTTGATATTGTTAAAAACATCAAAAAATCTGCAGTTTTAAGTTTCCCCATCCAGAAACATTTGATGCTACATCATTTACAGGCACTTGGAGAACCAGGAGCTTCCTGTTAATTTGTTCCTGTTGGTGGTGATGCGTTCATGTCACCTCGCTTCCTGTGCTGCAGCGCCGCTGATCATCCTGCTCCAAATCACAGGTAAAAGCCATCGGGTCAAAGGTCATTCCTAGCGGTCGAAAAAAACGAGGGAACTTAAATCAGATCTTGGAAGCTGCAACATTTATTTTTGTGTCTTCTGAACAGATTTAAGGATTAAAATATAAAATATATATCAAGATCTGCTAAGAACTGATAAAAAATTAATTTCAAGCCAGAAAATTTAGCTAGAACTCTGAAATAACGGTGTTTATTTTATTTAAAGAACAACAAACTAAAATCAAAATAATCTTAAAATCGGCTTAGAGGGATATTTTAGATTATCTTAAATCAAAACTAATTTGACTTGTAACTTTATTAGAGGGATGAACATTGTTTCTATAATTTAGATTAATCTAAATATTTAAAGCACAAAAGCAAGAAACAAACGGGCTGTAAGAAATATGGAGGTTTCTAGAGAAGAGGATCCGACGACCAACTTGTTTCAGGAAATTGTGATGAATAAAAAAAATAAAGAATAAATTATGGATAAATATATAATTTACTTTCCTCTTTCAAGTGTTTGGCTCCATTAAAACATTTCCTACGCCAACATCCACATCTCTCCTTTGCTGGACAATTTTTAATAAAGTATAAATAAAACTGTTCAAAGTAGATTTGAGTCAGATTTCTTCTGCAGGCGTCAGGATTTAAATATGGAGAATAAAAAACATGTTGGAAAGTCAGGAGAAAAAATAATGTTTTAAGCATAAAGTCTAGTCTAAAAATTAGATGTATTACAAAAATATAATCAAATAAATAAAGCTAAAAACAAATATACAGGAAAAATTTATGAAGGTGTAACTGGATGGATAATAGACGGGTGAATAATGATAATTATTTTATAAAATGGAGAAAGTTTGACTAAATTCAAACTTATTTTCTCCTTTAACATCAGAACTTTTTTCTCACATTAAAACTTTAATTCTGACCAAATTTTGCTCCATTTAAACTTTTAGAAAACATTCCTTCCAGGACTTCATGTCGTCTTACGTTCAGGAACTCGGCGTGTCGCGCTGTGAACTAAGTGTGCTGAGGAGCGGCGGGACACGGCTGACTGTGTCTGTACGCCATGATGAAACCCGACGACTGGTGCCACCAGTAGAACATCAGAACCAGCAGCAGGTGCCACACCTGGTGGCTGGAGCCCAGGTAGTTCAGCTGACCTGAGGGGGAATAAAACAGTGATTTAAGTGCATATTAATACAGGATCCGCTTTTTTCTTCCGTTTCCTCGCAATACAAATTTAAAATTGCACACATCAACACGTTTAATAGACAAAAAGCTTCTACATTATTAAGTCTTTGGTGCAGAAACTGGTTTAAAATCGATTTGTGATCTGTTAGAGGTGGGACTGCACAGGAAAATGGCTCTTCATTCAGACAGCGAACATAAAAAAATCAAAACTCAGATGGCTAATATCTCATTAAACATTAAAGTAACTCAAAAAAGTCCAAATAGTTTGGATGCATTTCTTTCTTTCCTTCTTTTGGAAAGTTTCTGTTTATGCTTAAGGAATGGAAGAAAAGATGAAAAGTCCATGTTTAATCTGTTTTGTTTTTTCATTTTAAATACAAGTTTGTGGTTCATTTGTATCCTAAAGAAAATGATATAAAAAACCTCCAGATATCTCTTTAGTGTGACTAACATACATGGAACAAAAGGTACAAAAACATTATACTGTAACTAGTCAGTGATAGCAGCATCTTGAATACTTAAACTATCGTGTGACATAATTAGGGTTGCACCGACTGCAGATTTCTGGCCAATCACCGATTACTGATCTGTAAAAAGCCTGACCAGCTGATTCCGGTTTTTCTGCCTGAAATGTTGCTAAATTGCACCGATAAATCGGTGCATCCCTACAGGTGATGTGAAACCACCGAGTGGACTCACCTGGGAAATATCGCTCTGGAACCCTAGAAACATAGAAAATAAGCGCCAACGCCGCGATGAAGTACATCCCAAGAATCCGTGGAACAAAAGCCTGAAGAGGAGAAACAAAAACAAAAGTCAACAATGACCACGTCTGAGCAGAGAGTCGGTGAAAACCAGAAGAGTTTGTTGGACCTGGACGAGCTGAGAGGAGAATCCCCCGGTGATCCAGATCCAGTGGAGCGTCGGGATGAGGCCGTATCCGGCCACGGAGCAGAAGATGAGCGAGCGCAGCTGCTTCCACTGCTTACTGAGGTAGAGAGGATGGATCTGGGCGAAGAAGACGGCCAGGATCATGGCCAGAACCGTCACCAGGTAAACCTGCCGCCAGTACTGGAACCAACACCACAGAGACCCGTCAGA